CAGGCCTCATGACCAACAACAAACAAACAAAGAAGAACGGAGGGGAAAGGAAAGCACTATTATGGTTGAAGTGGTAGAACGAGGTAGTGAGTGCAATCCCACATGCTGCCCAAACCCCAAGAAACCTGAAGACAAGCCATGTCCAGCCTAGGGGGAAAGCTGAAGGGGGCCTGGGCATCTCTGAGTCAGCCTGAATTAATACATATGTATGTACGTATGCATGCATGGGTATACATATGAGGTACTGGGCCTCATGCTAGCTAGGGAATACTCCATCACTTGTGCCACTCGTTAATCCTAATAATTTACTTTTTGGGGGGGGGCGGAGTGGGGTTGTGAGGCTTGAACTCAGAGCCTGGGTGCTGTCCCTGAGTTCTTTTGCTCAAGATTAGCACTCTATCACTTGAGCCACAGTGCCACATCTGGTTTTCTGGTGGTTCACTGAAGATAAATCTCATGGACTTTCCTGCACAGGCTGGCTTTGAACCGTGATCCTCATATCTCCAGCTCCTGAGTGACTAGGATTATAGGCTATAATTTGTGTTGTTGATGTGGACCCTTTTTAGAAAGTTACAATAAGTATAAACACAGGGACATTTGTGTTACATTGTGATGAATTCATAAAAATCAACTGATAGATGGAGATATTTCCCTGTTTAAATTTTATTTTCTTTTTCTTATGGAGATTAAGCATCTTTTCATCTGTGAATTGCTCAGTGTTCTATAGAGCTATTTTTCTTATTGATTTGTAAGCACTCTACGTATTAAGGATAATCTTTATTACATTTGTTTCACAAAGTCTATTTCTTGTCCCACTTGGTTACTGGGCTTTTGTAGTGGGATTTTCTCCCTGCCCTATACAGAAAGACTCTGGATTGATTTATTTATTTACCTGTCCTAGGCTTGAATTCAAGGCCTGAGCACTGTCCTTGAGCTTTTGCTCAAGGCTAGCACTCTACCACTTGAACCACAGCGCCACTTCCAGCCTTTTCTGAGGAATCAAAACCAGGGATTCATGCATGCTAGGCAAGCACTCTACCACTAAGCCACGTTCCCAGCCCAAGACTCTGGGTTTTATAATCAATTTTCTCTCTTCTATTATGTCTTCTAGGACGAGTAACATCCTTAGCAAAAAGCTTCTGCTAAGCAGAGAGGGTCATTCGCCAGTTCTGAGTAGCTAGAGCCATACTGCACATAAACTGTGCGCACAAGTGCAGTCTAGCCCTATGAAATAAGATGGTGGGATCTTATCTGATTTTTATCTCTTTAATAACAGCTTCCTTTCTCCCTGGAGGTTAGATGATGAACTAGAGAAACATTCTGATGCCTTCCCTCCCTGGCTCCCTCCTTCCCTCTCCTCCTTCTCCCTCCAGGTAGACAGGTCTGTCCAGATGTATTAAAGAGTCTGTTTGCTGTCAGTTAGCAAAACAAATCTGGAAAACTGGTAAAACTGGAAAGGTAGTTTTGGGGCTGGGTTCTGTGGGAAAGGAAAGGGGGACATAAGCTGCTTGAGACTCTGCCCAGCACCCAGAACTCAGCACTCAGCACTCAGCACAAGCAAGCCCAAGTGGGAGCTGTTAGCAAGGCACCATCACGTGCTTGCCCTGGGGTTCTCCATCAGAGGTCTCTCGTTTTTTTCCTTGAGGTCGCGTGAACAGGTGGAAATGTTCTAGAAAGGGAGATGTGGGACCCATCTTGGCTCTGTGGTTGTATCTGGGCTCCTGGCACTTGTGTGGCTCTGGCTAAGTCTGTTGACTTCTGAGTCCTGGGTTCCCGTGCTGGACACACAGAAGGCCTTGGCGGCTGACGGCTGTGCAGACCGCATACATGTGGAGCGCTTCTGGGCTGTAGACGTGAAGGACTCACGCCTGCAGGAGCAAATCACTTAGCTTAGATTCGAACCCAGCACCTGCTGGTTCTAGAGCACTAGGCTCTTCCCCACGCTCATAGTCTGCCTTCAGCTACCTCAGTGCATAGAGATGCACACTGAAACCCCATTCCTGCCAGCCGCACCTCTGGTCGTTGTCACCCTCTCTCCGCTTTGCCGGAAGCATCCTGCAGCCCCCACCCTGTTCCAGGCAGTGGCACAGAAGCTCTGACCCTTATGGGGCCTCCATAGTACACAATAACCACTGCTGTGGGGCCCAGCGCCTGCCGACCAGGGTGGCCTCATGACCCTCAGAGCGCCCTGTCAGGAGAACCCGAAACAAAACATCTTTCTCCTGGCTCCTGGGCGGAGCCACACAGAGCTACATCCAGCCCATTCCAGAGCCAAGGAAGCCAGGAATCTTTTTCTGCATCTCTGAAAAGCACAGGGAGTGACCAGAAGCCTTGGAGGAAAGCTAATAAACCACCCACCTGGCTGTCCGTGCCCAGCCACTGAGCCTGGGGTTCCCATGTCCGCTTTGGAGGCTGGGGGTGAAGATCAGCCCATAGAGGCTGATGGAGCATTTGCTCTGCGCACTATCCCTTACCTCCTTCCCTAGGATTCCCTTTTTACAGGCAGGGAAACTGAGGCCCAGGCCCCTTTGCCTACGTTCCACACCTGCAGGGGTGGCACTCTGAGAAAACACTCTCAATCGCTGCACAGGGGTGCTGTGTGGGGCGCCAGCGCAGCAGGCAGCCGAGGCCACCTGGTCCCTGTGTGGCTCTTAGAGGACAGCCCCTGGGCATTCCACACTAGGCCGGAGCAGTGGGTGAACTTGGAGGAAAGTAAAGAGAAGTAGGCCAGCTACTCAGGAGGCTGAGATCTGAGGATCACAATTCAGAGACAGCCTGTGCAGAAGAGGCTGTGAAACTCTTACCTCCAGTTACCCAGCAGAAAGCTGGACTCGAGCTGTGGCTCACATGGTAGAGTACCAGCCTCAAGTTACAAAGCCAAGCACAAATGCCAGGCGCTGAGTTCAAGCCCCAGTAGTGTCACAAAGGAGGAGGAGGAGGGGGAGGGGACGGAGGAAGAGGAAGAGTAGCTTTATGGGCAGGGATTTCATGAAAATTGTGATAATTTCAGGTATCCAGGAAAGGAGAAAGAACGACAGCAAATACTTGTCCACCTCCCACTTAATCCCTCCATGGTCATTTTGCTGGCCTGCTCACCCTCCATCTGCCCACTAGGCCAAGGTTAATCTTTGGACTTGCTGTACTGAGGGGCGGGACCTAGGTGCTGTCCCTTAGGTTTTTTTACTCACAGCTAGCCCTCTACCACTTGAGCCACAGCTCTACGTCTGGCTTTCTGCTGATTAATTGGCGATCAGTGTCTCCCAGACTTTCCAGCCTGGGCTGGCTTTGCACGCTGCTGGCTTGGCAGGGTACAGCAGCAGCCCAGCCCCCACAAGGGGCCTGAAGGAGAGTCAGCCTGAAGGAGAGTCAGCTGAGCATTGGGTTCATTCACACTTGCCATCCCAGCCCTCAGGAGGCCGAGGCAGGAGGACCCTGCGTTCAGACCAGCCCAGGCTTGCATAGTGGGACCCTGTCAGGGAGGGTCGGGGGTACAGGTCAAGGGTGATTGGCCGTTGGCAGAGGTTCTGGGGGTGTTTGCCAGATCCTAGGAAAAACAGGAAGTCATAAGGTTCTCTGTCACCCAGCATTCACTGCTAAGCTGCTCTGATGTGTTGCGCTCAGAGCCTTATGCCCAGCAAGCATGCGCTCTGCCACTGAGATGCGCTCACAACCGCACTACTTCCCTTCCCCTCCCCCCTCTGCCCTTCCCGCCCCTTTCCCCTCCCCATCCTCCTTCTCTCTCCTTCCCCCTCCCCTCCCCTTTTCTTTTGCTAGTTCTGGGCTTGAACTCCGGGCCTGGGCACTGTCCCTGAGCTTTTTGCACTCAAAGCTAGCACTTTGAGCCACAGCTCCTTTTCTGGCTTTTTGGTAGCTAACTGAAGATAAGCGTCTCACAGACTTAATTGCCGGGGCTGACGCTGAATGACAATTCCCAGCTCTCAGCCTTCTGAGTAGCTAGGACTGAAGGTGTGGCCCAGGCTGGCCTCAAATGCTCCATCCTCCTGCCTCAGCCTCCCCGGTGTGGGGATCATAGGCGTGCACACCCAGCTGCTGCACTATTCCTAATTCCTGTGACAGCTGTCCGCCCCATTTCACACAGGAAGAAACAGGTCCAGGGAGGTGACCCGAACCTTCTTCCCGTTAACACTGTGGGTGCTCACTTAAAGTGTCTAATGCTGCATCCTCCATGTACCTCTTCACAGCTGCAGGTAGAATGTTCCAGATGGCTGGCCCGGTGTGCTGGGTCCTTGGCTGGAATCAGGCCTGCAGAAGGTCCTCCCCCAGCTCCCACACCCACCCATGGCCAGCTGGCACAGATGCCTTGCCTGGCCCACTGGCGGCCGTGGCTCCCTCCTGTGGGTGTGGTTTGGTACCCTTTGACAGCCCGCAGTGGGGACCTGGCCCCCACTTCTGTGGGCTCAACAGAGGACAGGGAGGGGGACAGGAACAGCCCAGCCCCAGTGTGTTTCTCCCTTGGCGCCCAGCCCTCTACTAGGAGCTTTGGCTGCCTTGCTGTCCCTGTCCCGGGAAAGCCCGCCAGGAGGAAGAGGACAGGTGGGCTCTTGGTGTGGAGGCCAGTGTCCCATGTCATCAGCTGAAGGTGTCACCTCTTAGGCCCCATTCCGTGACACACGGGCCCCGGCACAGTGTTCGGCGTCACATCCCTGTGAGGCCCCAGAAAGCGGAACAAATAACCCTAAGCCTATCCTGCCAGTGTGGACGGAGCTAGGAGTCTAGCCCAGGTCCATGTGGGGACAGCGCTCACACCGAGAGTGGAGACTGTCACCTCAGGGAGATGTTCCAAAGGCTCTGACAAGGTCTGCTCTTGGAGCTCAGTACCTCCCAGGCTCCCACAGAACCTAACACCTGAAACAGCTCTGCCCGGCCCCCTAAACTCACCAAGTGAGCCACTCCCAGCTCCTCCTCAGCCCTTGGTGACATCTGCATCACAGCTGAATGTCAGCCTTGTTGGGAATTGAAATCTCTCCTTCTCTCCCTAGATTGCCTCGGCTCCCCAGTGTTCATGCCCATCAAGGCGGACATCAGCGGCAACATCACGGTGAGCACTTGGCCCGTGGGCTGCAGCCCAGCCCAGCTCCACGTCAGGGGTCAGAGGCCTCCTGCCCCGCCACTGCCTCAGGGAAGGGGGAGGAGACAAAAGGGGGCGTGGCTTGATCCTTGGGGGCGGGGAGCAGGTCCTCAGGGGTCTCCAGGACAGCATGAGTGAGCTGTCTGGGCCCAGCCTGGCTGGGAACCTCTGCTCCATCTGCACGCCCAAGTCCATGGTGGCTGTTGAAGTGCAAACACCGGGGTAGTTGTCATTAGGAGAAATCTTGTCCCTGGCCGTGGTCTCTTGAGGACCAGAAGATCCAGCATGCAAAGCAGCTGTCTGCAAAGCACCCTTTCCAATGCCAAGGCCCCCCCCCCTTACCCTACCACCATGCTCTGTTTTCAGAAAATCAAAGCCGTGTATGACACCGACCCCGCCAAGTTCCGGACCCTGCAGAACATTCTGGAGGTGGAGAAGGAGATGTATGGAGCAGAATGGCCCAAAGTGGGGGCCACGCTGGCGCTGCTGTGGCTGAAAAGGTGACGAGGGGCCACTAGGGCAGTGAGGGCTCACGGGAGACTTTGGGAGGGGAGGGGGACGTGGCTCCTAGAGGCTTCTGGCCCGAGGACCAAGCCCTTTCTCAATTCCACCCAGAGGCCGACCCTGAATGCTCAGGGCTCTGATCCGTGCATGGGGTCGGAACTCAAGGTGAGGAGTGGGAATTGGTGTCCAACTGAACCCAGACTGGAGCTCACCCGCAGAGCCAGAGCTGAGTGGCTCACGGGGACCCCGGGTTCTGAGGGTGAAGGGCACTCAAGGTAAGAGCCCCACTGGGAGAGCAAGGCTGAGGTTGTGCCAGGCCTGCAGGCCTTCGGGAGGAACCCCAGCGCTCTTCTAAGCGGGGGGCTGGTGGTACCCAGCTCGGCCACCCAGTGCCGAGAGGAACAGGACACTAGTGGCTGGCACCATTTGGGCTTCCTGCTGACCTTCCACCCTTCTCCTGATCCTCCAACACCCCAGAGCCCTCTGCAGAGAGACTGGCATGGCCAGGCCCACCAGCCCTGCCCTGGTTCCTATTATTACCCAGTGAGAATGGTGTCTCTGGCCAGGGGAGAGCGTGCCAGGGAGATGCTGAGCTCAGGTGGTCTCAGGGACCCTCGTTGTCCTTTGTCCCAGCATCCCCAGTTCCCAGCTACAGCCTGGGCCGCGTGCACCAGGTCCCAAGGTGCGCACGCGCATCTCATAGCTGTGGTCTTAAGGAGCCATCTCTTCTCTGGCCGCAGAGGCCTTCGCTTTATCCAGGTCTTCCTGCAGAGCATCTGTGACGGGGAACGGGACGAGAACCACCCCAACCTCATCCGCGTCAATGCTACCAAGGCCTACGAGATGGCCCTCAAGAAGTACCACGGCTGGATCGTGCAGAAGATCTTCCAGGTGAGTGGGTTCGACCACGTCCACGTGGAGCCTGCGGTTGTCCGGGGCTCAGGAAGGGCTCACCTGCAGTGGCTGCCAGCGCTGCCTGTGCCCTGTGGTGTCTCCTCTGGGTGGCTTGGCCTGCCAGGCTTGACCAAGCTATGGGAGCACAGGTTCATGGTGAATTAGCCTGGTGGACCCTCGGATCCAGCCAGATTGTCACGCTGGACAGGGAGGGAAGAGAGGCCTGGTTTTGATGATCCCCAGGGGTCGGCAGGCTGAAACACCCTGTGTGCTTCAAGCTGTGGCCAGCCATTCTTTTTAACACGTATTTTTTTATTGTAAAGATACTGTACAGAGGGGTTACAGTTACAGGAGTAAGGTAATGAGTACATTTCCTATCAAGCATTGTTTCCTCCTCCTCTGTTTTTCCCCTCTCATCCCTTCCCTCCCCACCTCCACACCTCCTCCCTCCCTCCCCCCCCCCAAGTTGTAAGATTCGTTTTCAACATAGTGTCTTATACATTTCATCTTAACAATGGATCAAACTGTATCCTTATTTCAGCATTTTGTTATGTCCCTTCCCCTCCCCAAATTAGAAAAATGTATATATAAGATGCAGGGCACCAGAATTAAATACAGTGAAAACAGGGGTTAAACCATGGGGGAAGACCATACAAAAGAAACAAAAAAAATCACATAGTACATGATAAGTGCATTAAAAACAACAGCAAGAAAGATAAAACTTCTTGTGTCCCTATCTTGGGGTTCATTTCATTTAGCATCATCTTATATGGTCATATGTACCTTTACCTTTTCTGCTTTTCCTAGACATATACTAATCATTGCAAATAAGGGAAACCATGGGACCTATGTTTCTTTGGGCCTGGCTTACTTCACTTAATATAATTTTTTCCAATTCTTTCCATTTCCTAACAAATGGGGCTGCATCATTCTTTCTGATGGAGGCATAGAATTCCATTGTGTGTGTGTGTGTGTGTATCACATTTTCTTGATCCATTCATCTACTGAGGGACATCTGGGTTGGTTCCATATCTTAGCTATGGTGAATAATGCTGTGATAAATGTAGTTGTGCTGGTAGCTTTACTATAGCCTTGTTTGTGATTGTTTGGGTAAATGCTCAAAAGTGCGATTGCTGGGTCATAGGGGAGTTCTATGTGGAGTCCTTTGAGGAGCCTCCATACTGCTTCCCTAAGTGGTTGAGCGAGTTTACACTCCCACCAGCCATGCAGTAGGGTTCCCTTTTGGCCCCATCCCCTCCAGCATCTGTTGTTACTAGATTTCTTGATTATTGTGGCTGGCCATTCTGCCCACCCGTGTCTCCCTCGGTGTGGATTTGCCTGCTCAGTTTGGCCGGTCTCTCTACTGCGGTTTCTGCAGCGACCTGCCCATCCTTGATGCTTTGAGAACCAGAGTCCGCTGGCTGCTGTGAACTAAGGAGAGTCAGGGGCCAGCTGCATTCAGGCAGGAGAAGCTGCACATGAGGCGGGAATCATGACATCTGCCATCGACTTGGCATGGCTGGGGACAAGGCCCATCCCAGGAGCATCTTGAGTATCCTACCCTCCCTGAAGTGTGTTTCCCCCGACACAGGCCTTACCACCACCCCCTCAACCCTGACAGTGTCACGCGTGCCTAGCCAGGACAGCTGCCCATGAGCTGTAATCCCACCTCTTTCTCAGATCAGGTCAGTGTAGACAGTGAACGGGTGGCTGGCTGGGCATGGTGGAGCACACCTGTAATCCCACCTCCTAGGGAGGCTGAGGCAGAAAGAATGCTTGCTCCTAAGAGCTCAAAGCCAGGCTGGGAGTGAAGCTCCCTGAGCCTTGGGAATGAAGCAGGCCCCGCCTCACAGGCTGGTTTGGAACTTGAATGAGTTTTGTGTAGAGTGCCCGGTCCATGGTTTGCAAAGTCAAAGCCAGTGCTTTCATTCACAGTTCGCTACTCATCCTGCCAAATGCACACCAAGGGGGTTTATCCAGTTGTGGCTTTCTCCTTCTGGCTCTGAAGTTCTGTGCATTCCTGACTCGGCACCTTACAAGTTTGGGGGCAGCTATGAAATTTAGGGCAGTGTTTCAAGGACAGAAGAAAGTCCACATTAGGAGCCGTGAGGGGCTGGGATGTGGCTCCATGGTAGAGTGCTCGGCCTAGCATGCATGAAGCCCTGGCTTCAATTCCTCATACACAGAAAAAGCCAGAAGTGGTGATGTGGCTCAAGTACTAGAGCACCAGCCTTGAGCAAAAGAAGCTCAGGGACAGTGCCCAGGCCCTGAGTTCAAGCCCCAGGACTGGCAAAAAAAAAAAAAAAAAAAGAGCTATGAGCTTCCCAAAGCAGTTTACCCCTCCAGAGCAGAAAACCCAGCAAAGAGGCTTACCTGGGTCAAGCACCTGCTCTGTGCTCTGTGCCAGGGTGAATGAACACTTACTGTGTAGCTGATGCTGGGGCCAGCAACCATTGTGTGCCAAGTGCTGGCCAAGCACCTATTGTGCGCCTGGTCCTGGAGTTAGCACCTACTGTGTGCTTGGTGCTGGGGCCAGCAACTACTATGTACTCAGCCCATCCTAATGGCAACTAGTAATCGCCCAGTAATGGGCTGAGTACCTACTGTGTGCCCAGTGGTAGTCTGAGTGCCTGCTCTATAACCTCTAATCTTTACAAAAGCAACTTAGGTAAATACCATTATTGCTCCGGTTTACAGACAAGGAAACTGAGGCACAGGGAGGCTCAGTGTTAGCTGGTGACGCAAGCTCGAGTTCCACTCAGGTTTGTCTGTCAAGCTGATGCCTGTCCTTCTTGCACACACACACACACACAACTTCCTCTTTCCTGGTCATTCTCCCTCCCACATCACAGCTAGCCCAGCTCTGGCCCTACCTAGCAGGGCTCCGGGCAGTCCTCTGCGTTTCCAAGTCTCCCCTGCTAACACTGATCCCCCTTTTCTTACCGGTCTCAAGGCAGCGCTCTATGCTGCTCCCTACAAGTCTGACTTCCTGAAGGCGCTGTCCAAGGGGCAGAACGTGACGGAGGAGGAATGCCTGGAGAAGATCCGCCTCTTCCTGGTCAACTACACGGCCACCATCGACGTAATCTACGAAATGTACACCAAGATGAATGCAGAGCTCAACTACAAGGTCTAGGTGCCGCCCGCCTGGAACAGGCTATTCGGAATCACTGTGAATCAAACCAGCTCAGCCCCCGCCTCCCCCCCCCAAGCCACCCCCAGGCCAGCTGGGGCCTGTGGGGGAGGGGGTGGCCTTGTTTGTGTGTTTTTTAAATCATGTTTTGGGGCTCATCCTAATGAAGCAATAGATACCCATCTTCCTTCCAACTCACTGAATTTCACAACCATGCAGACCCGTGTGGTACACACCGATTAACAGTTGCTAATACATTGAGTCCTAGGGTTTTTTGGTTTGATTTTTTTTCTGCCCAGAAGCCCAGCTGAGGCAAAGCAAACCCAGCATCTCCTTGCATGATGTTCTGGATATGGTAAGACTGAATGGATTGGATTGAAAATCATGCCAGTGTTTTGTTTTTGTTTTCCACAAAAACAGACTGTGTGTCCTGATGAAGCGTTTGGTACGCACAGCTCTCGTTTCTACAAACTCTGATCCCTCTGCCTCCCCAGAGAGCTTTGTTATTCTTATTTTTTAATGGCTGAAAGCCACCAGCAAGCCTTTTCCAGCAAATGGCCATAGGTGACTGCATTCTTCAGGGTCAGCTTGTCTAGCCTCCGAGAGACCACCCATCCTGGCACCCTCCCGAGAGGGGAGTGTGAGCCACCAGCTGCCGAAACCCAAGAAACCACCTCGCTGCCTTATAACTGCTCCTCAAGTATTGGGGCAAGTAACGTAACCCCAAAAGAAGTGATGTGTGTTTTAAAAAAAAAAACCCAATGAGGAACAATTGGTGATTTTTATGCAGAAACTAAATCATTCTTAACAAATAAATCTATATTTTGGAATCATGTCCGTGTGCTGCTTGCTTCCTGAGTCTTAACTCTAGTATCCAAAAAGAGCACCAGTTGCAGGGCTGGGAAGACAGCAGGGGTGGTTGAGGACTGAGGTTGAGTGGAGTGGGTAATACTGATTTCCCTTATTTCCCGCTCTACTAAAGCAGAGCCCAGTGGACAGGTGGGCCAGGGAAATGCTAGTGTTGGCAGGATGGTCAGTGAACTTCAGGTGAGCAGGTTTTGTGTGTGTGACATTCTGCTACTATGGGATTTGAGCTTGACCCTGAAAATTATGGAACACTTTTCATTTTGATCCAAGACCAGAACTTGAACTTGACACTCATTGGCTCATTGGCTCGCGTTCTCCCAACTGAGCCACGCCTCCAACCCTGTGGAACACCTTCAACCTACATAATCCAATCAGGTGCCCAATTTGGAAGGTTTCTTCTGGCTAAGGGATGGAAGCCATAACTAGTTCCTTTACCATCTTTTCAAATATTGCCCATGGAATTCTGTTCTGCCTAAGCCCTAACTGCTGTCTAGCCCCGCTCACCCACATTGGCTTTCCTGGGAATACAGAACTCTGCCAGCAGATTAAAAGCATACCATCTCATGCTTTCTTTTCTACCTGTCTCAACCAAACTGCCATGAAGGGCTCCCCCCCACCCTCCACTGCTCACGTGCCTGTGGGAACCCCCCTGGGGAGCACTGGGGGTTGGGAATTCCAAGACTAAGCCAAGCAGTGCTCCCCTGCCTTCCTGATTCATTCCTGTCCGTGGGGCTGAGTTCTTCCTGGAGCAGGGAAGCTGTACACCAGGTCCATCAGCGGTCATTTCTCCACCATCTGAGATGTATGCGGGCTTCGGGCACCCCACCGAGAAGAGGAAGCTGAACCAGGAGGGATCCTCTAAATAGCCCCAACATTAGGCCAAGGTCCCTGCATTTGCTCCCCTGTTGACTCACCCAGTTAAAATTCGCCGAGCTACTCAGGAGGCTGAGATCTGAGGATCCGCAGTTTGAAGCCAACCAGGGCAGGAAAGTCCCTGTGAGACTCTCATCTCATAAACCACCAGAAAACCGGAAATGGCCGAGCAGTCCCCAGGAGCAAAAAAAGGAGCTCAGGGACAGCACCCCGGTCCTGAGTTCAAGCCCCAGGACTGATGACAACGACGACATGATGATGATGATGGTGATGATGATGATTCACTGAGGCTAGTAAGACACGCTTTCGAACCCACCATAATGTGTCTCACCGTCCCTCCAGACCCTGCCACACGGACTGGCACCTGCCTGCAGGGGTGCGGGAGGATTGTAAAGTGGTGGGAGCAGCGGGTGAAGCGCAGGAGGTCGCCCCAGTCCGACCTAAGCAGAACCGCGGGCGCCATCTGTAGGGGAGGCCTGGAGCATCCGAGGCTTGGCCCTGCCACAGGAGCGCTGTGTGGCTTTGGGCAGGCCACCTTCCCTCTCTGCGCCTGGTTCTCGTCCACACAATGGGGATTCCCATTGGTAGCGGGCGGTGATGCCGTTATCGTCGCGGACAGGAGAGCCGAGGAGGGAAGGCGCCCCACGCCTCTGCGCCTGCGCACTGAGCGCATGCAGTTCCCGAGGAGCCCGGCAGGTGGCGCCGCCCGCTGCCCGAGCAGAGCCGCCCCAGCTCCCCGCTCCCCTGCTCCCCGCCCCTGCTCCCCGCTCCCC